TCTGGAGGTTGCTAGAATCTGAGCTGGCATAGTGTATTGAGCCAAGTTTAGGCAAGTTGCTTTTTTGGACTGCAGCTTCCAGAAGCCCCTAACCAACCTGGCCAGGGTTTTACGCTGGCTGGGGAATTTGGGAAATCATGGTCCAAAAAAGGCAACTTTTTCATATTCTGGAAATGTTCTGACAAAGCCAAACCATAGCTCAGTCTACATACCGTAATAATGGGTGTACATTGTAACAGCAGAGACAGTCTCTTTTTTCCTGGTACTTGCAGGGCCAGTGGGCTGTAACGCTTTGAGTGTTGGACTATGACTTTGGGAGACCAGGGTTCATATCCCCACAGGGTTACTTTGGGCAAGTCACATTCTCTCAGCCTCAGAGGAAGGCAACGGCAAATCCCCTCCAGAACAATCTTGCCAAGAATAGGTTCAACTTAGGTTGCCATCAGTTGGAAATGACTAAGTGATAAGTTTGCCTTAGGGTCACCATGAGCTGGAAATGATTTGAACGTACACAGCAGCAGCAGCAGCAAAATAAGAGTTTGCTGCTTGATGCAAAGGATGATGCCCTGCCCATCTGTCCCATTCCAATTACAGAAATTAATTGGAGCGGCAGTGGGATCTTCCTTCAGTCCTGGTAATGAATGAGCCAAATTCCCCATAACTGAGGGCAGCAGGCTAACTTGGGAGGAGCAAGGCAGGCAATGTGGAACTCTGAAGGACCACTCTTACCATTAGGCAGATTGAGGCAGTTGCTTCAAGCATCAGATACAAAAGGGCAGCAGTAGCAGCCCACAGCCATTCCCCTCTCATGTAGGATGAAAGATATGTAAACCATACCCTGTGAGGAGCGACTTAGGGAGCTGGGTATGTTTAACCTGGAGAAGAGAAGGTTAAGAGGTGACATAATAGCCCTGTTTAAATATTTGAAGGGAATATTGAGGATGGAGCAATTTTGTTTTCTGTAGCTTCAGAGACTAGGACATGGAGCAATGGTTTCAAACTACAGGAAAACAGAATCTACCTAAACATTAGGAAGACTTTCCTAACAGTAAGAGCTGTTGGACAGTGGGAGAGGCTGCCTTGGAGAGTGGCGGAGTCTCCTTCTTTGAAGGTTTTTAAACAGAGGCTGGA